GGTCCGGGAAGATTCCCACATGCCGCGGAGCGGCTGGGCCCGTGAGCCATGGCCGCTGAGCCTGCGCGTCCGGAGCCTGTGCTCCGCGACGGGAGAGGCCACAACAGTGAGAGGCCCGCGTGCTGCAAAAAAATAAAAAATAAAAAAATAAAAAATAAAAATAAAAAATAAAAATAAAAATAATGAAAACACCTGGATTCCTGGCTTCCCTTAAAACCCCTGAAGATCTGGCCTTGTGGGACCCTGGGTGCTGAGCTGCAGCTGCCCCCTAGAAGGGGCCCGTGCTGCCCTGTTGACCAGGCCCTTGAAGGCCAGCTTTGCTCCCCGACGTTGCTTGCCTGGCTCCTGAGCAACAGGGACCCAGGCCCAGGGCCCTGGCTGGTGGCTGGAGAGGCTTAGAAGTTGGGATGCCCGGCCGGCCTCACAGCCCACAGCTGGAGTGCGGGAAGGGCTGGCCTGCGTTCAGGGTCTCCAGGGCTGGCGCAGAGACACAAGCCCTGGCAACACCAGGGTGGCTGGCAGAGCAGGGTCCTTCTGTCTTCACAGGAACTCAGAGGGGAGCAGGGGCCGGGGCGGGCCCCCTAGAGGCCCTGCCATCTTCCCTACATTCGGGCAGGACAGAGGCCCTGTCCCCTCTCACTGGTTCAGTGGAGGGAGGTGGGGTCTCCAGAGGGCCCTCTTACCTAGTGCCAATACAGTTGCTGGCAACCAAGCTGCAGTCTAGACCCCTGGCCCCTTCGACTGAATCTTCTTCCCACTCAAGGGCTGCTTTAACCAGAAGCCAATGCTCACCCCTAAGGGACGCAGGGGCGTGGGGAACTGCAGCAGGAGCCAGCAATCCAGCATCTGGGGGCTGGGCTTTCAGAATCCACACATGCTGAAGGGAAACCCCAGGGCCCAGGGAATTTCACCCCGTCTCAGCTCTCCCTTGGTTATCTCAGGATTTGTGTATTGGCTAATAGCTCCCCAAGCTGTGTGTCTTGGGCAAGTTACTCAACCTCTCTGTGCCCTGGTTCCCTTGTCTGTAAAAGGAGGAGCATAATCATACCTACCCTACAGGGCTGCATGTGGATGAAATGAGTTAGTTCCAGGCAGGTAATAACCACTATAAACGTACGGGCTTCTGTTACCTGGTCAGGACCACGACCCCATTTGCAGGTGGGAAAACAGAACAGCCAGCCTCCAGTGGACTCTGACTCAGTTCTTGGTGGCAGCACAGGCTCCCTCTGTCTGACCCCAAATCCAGTGCATCAGACCATATTCTTAACAACATCTTTTATTGATTTTGCAAGAGAAAAAAATAGTTATTTTAGAGTTAATGCCTGTACAGCTTTTTCTCCCCCTAAATTGCATGGTACATACAATTATTCTAAACATCAACTGAGATCCTTGGGAGCAAGTGTGTGCGGTGTTCGTGCAATCTCCCCGACACGTCTGACCTGTAAACATGCCTCGGCGGGGATGGAAGGCTGGGCTCCCTTGAAACCCACGGCACTGGTTTTGGTCACTAAAAGCTGGTCAGGTCTCCTGGGAGCCCCCAGGCCCCGGAGGCACTTGCCACATCTGGGAGGTGAGCAGGGCAGCCGGGGGCTTGCAAGCTGCAGAAATGATGGATCTTCTCTGGGAGAAACAACTCCTTATCTTCACATCAGCCCCACGCTCCAAATGAGAAGCGCATTTGCATAGCTGTTCGGCTGAAGCTGCAAAGCTCATAAAGTATTTGCTGGGGCTTTTGGTTGCATAGGAACTACTTAGAGTACAGTAACGCGGCGGGGCTGGGCCGGGCGCCAGGAAAACAACGGATTAGTATTTGGAACAAGAAATTACCCACCACTGGGAAACCAATTAGGTCCCTGATCCGAGCTTGTTACACAGGTGGAAATAGATGCGTTTTGGGCTTCGCGCAGCTGACGGTGCAAGGCCTATTTCCAACTTGCTGGGAAGCTGCTCGATGAGGGAGAAGGGGTGGGGACCCCCGGCAACAGGAACCTCACTGCCCGATGCCCAGGACACGGGGTCAAGGACAGATGGAAAGGGAAACAGCAAGCGCGAAAAGCCTGGATCAGACCGAGGGCACGGACAGGCGGGGAGTGAGGGCCCCGCCCCCTCCAGGCTAGTTCCAGCGGAAGGGGGCGGGGCTTCTGGGGCCCGAGCGTGGGGCCGTGGCACCGGTCCTCTGTCTCAGGGCCCTGCATCCAGAAGGCATCTGGGTGTGTCCTACTGGCCTTCTGGGGTATGACGCTGCCCACCTGTCCTATCTGGGCCGGGCAGCACCGCAGGAACAAGGCTCCGCATGCCAGGGTGGGGCCGGCTGTAGGCCGCCGGTGGGTTCAGCTCCCTCCGTTGCTCAGCAGGACACATGCCCTTGGCAGATCCCTTCTTGGGCTTGACCAGAGGACAGAGGCCCTGCAGGACCGGCTCCCCTCAGGGGATCCCTCCTTCTCAACTGGGCCTGGGCGGGACCCAGGATGGGTGAAGGGGTGGTAGCAGTCCAGGCTAGACATCTGCAGGGGTCCAGGGGAAAGTCCCACCTGCTCAGCTGGCTCCGCAGCCCCCAGATGAGGCGGGGAGGTGGTGGGGGTGGGAGCTGCTGGCCCCTCAGCGGGGGCCTCGGAAGGCAGGACCCTACGCCTGTCGGTGTTGGTGTCTGACGCCTGGCCTCCTTCGCCCTGGCATGGCTGGCCATGGTACCTTCCTGCCTGGAGTCAGGCCGAGCCCGCGGATCCCACGACAGGCCTCAGCGGACTCGGGCCCTGCTTTGCTGGATCTCACGGTAGAGCCACGGAGCCACGGGACCCCGGGCTCCCTGCAGCTGGCCCCAGGACCGCGGGCGACAGTGGAAGGCCACACCACACCACTTCCACCTGCCCAGAACTCCTGTATTTGCCAGGGCCGTTCACCCCTTGAGTCCCTTCTCTCCAGCGGGCTCCCTCCATGCTGCAGCTCCCTTCCAGCTCCTGGGGTCTGGGGTCTGGGCTGGCCCACACGGAGGCCTGAGGGCGGGGGACATGGGTGCTGAGTTGGGGCTGGGTGACGGAGCCCCACCCCGGCTGAGAGGACCAGCTCCCCCTCCTTCAGCGGTCAGCACTGCCAGCGTCTCGCTGTCTCCTTCTCGCTGATGCAGGTTTTGGGGCGTAAGGCTGTCGAGGGAGAGCACAGAGGGAGCAGTGTCACCCAGCCGCCATCCCCGAGGGCTGCCCCATGCCCTTGGGGTGAAATCCAGACTGCCCGGGGTTGCCATTCATGGCCCCTGGAGACCTGGCCTCCGCCCCCAGCAGCCTCGAGTTCCCTCTGCCTGACCAACCCTGAGCATCTTTCAGGATCCAGCTCGAGCATCCCTCCTCTGGGAAGCCCTCGCCCTGTGCATCCTCTCCTGGTTTCCAGTGGCCCAGGGCAGGACAACCCTTTCAATATAGCGCTTCTGCCCTTCATGGCCCTTTTCCCTCTGTACATGCAAGGCTTGGCTTCTGGGAAGCACACCACATTGCTCCCGGGGTTCTGCCCCCATCAGCCCCCCCGCAGCCCCCCGGGGAAGGCTCTTGGGTGGAGGAGAGGGGTCTGAGGGCTGGCAGGGGCAAGAGACAGTGTGTGATGCTGCCAGCTCCTTCTCTGTTCCGACCAGACTCCTGAAGTCGGGTGGGAGGGGTGCTCTGGGCAGAGAAGGAAGCTGACCTGGGTCAGCTGCATTCTGCTTCCTTTTCGAGTTGGTAACGATTTGGTTTTCATTCATCATCTGCACGTCCTGACCCTCCACCTGATTACTGCAGGGAGGGAAAAGCCAGAAGGTTCCATCAGGCTCCAGGCAGCGTGTCCCTGCCATCCTTCCTCGTTAGGGCCGGCAGGGGAGGTGATGGGGGAGGGGAGGTCACGGGCTCGGGGCGCACCTGATGGCGGTGTGTTTCTCCTGGTGACAGATGTCCGTGTCCTCGGTGAAGAGGATGGTGTGGTAGGGTACTGTGGGCTCGCACGTGGGCAGGATGCCCCTGACCAGGTGGCCCACCATGGCCAGGATCCCATTGTACAGGAGCAAGTCATCCACCAGGAGCTGGACAGACAGAGGAGGGGCTGTGTGGAGTGTGGCGTGTGGTCCATCATCCCCCTCGTCCTTCCCATGTGTGACCTCGGGCAAAGTGCATCACTGCTCAGAGCCTCGCCTACTAGGTGCGCGGCCCGTGTTATGACTTCAAACCTTCACGACGACCAGGAAAGGCGCCTGGATTAGCCCCACATTGCAGATGGGGAAGCTGAGGCTCAAAGGGCTAAAATCTTTCACCCATGTGGCAGGGCATGGCGAACTCGGGTCTCTGGTCCCCCAGGGCTCTAGCTCTCCCTACCCCAGAGTCGCCTCCGGCAGGAAGAGCTCCCTACGCCAGTACAATTCGAGAAGAAAAGATGAAAGAAAAGCCACTTTGTTTTTTTCGGGGTGATGATTCAAATCACTCGGAGGTTTTGAATTCACGGTTGGATGGCACATCTCCCTGCCTCTGAGGACCAGGCATTTGTGTCTAAGGTTGCAGCCGAGAGAAGTAAGTCAAGCTGCGACAAATGATAATTGCCGGCAGCCTAATTACCAAAGAGCATAATTATCTCAAAAAACGCAGCCAGGAAGTACTTACGCCAAACTCCTTCACCCCTCGATGGGGTGTTTTCGCGTAATTCCACAGTTTGATCATTGACACCGTGGTAGGCCGATCGAAAATCACATAAACCCGGTTCACCTGTCAGAGAGAAGCACTAATTAAAACAGGCATGTTTGGGAACAGAGGCACTGGGCGGGGCCCGGGGTGCCAGGCGTGGGCCGGGGCGCGAGGGCAGTGGGTGCCCAAGGCGGTGTCGGCCCAGGTGGGCCGCCTGGGCTGCTCGGGGCCGCTGTGCGTGGGGTTCCCGCCGCCTTTCTTCTCCTCGCAGCCCATCTTGAGTCAGGTCACGTGTGGCTGTGTTTGCAACAAACCGCTGAGCTGGCTGTTGAAAGGCCTGTTTTCTGGGCCTGGCATGGCCGTCATTGAAATGCCTGCAGAGAACTGGGCGCGCCCTTCCCTTTCCTCCACGTCAGGTTCAGAAACACAGTCTGGGGCTCCAGGGGCCAAGGGAACGGTCCCCAGCTCCAGAGTCAAGAGGCACGACCTCCGAGCAATCAGCACAGCCTTGACCCGTTTGTCCTTTCTCCGAATCATAAATGAAAAGCACAGCCGAGTAGCCCTGAAAGCACCGCTGGGTGATTTTCAGCGGAGATCTTTGAACCTCTGCTGGTGGAGGGGGAGGGAGGTGTCCCGATCCGTGGCAGATCAGCTAGTAAAGTGGGACCCAACAGCCTCCTCACCCCCAACAAAGACTGGCAAATATTAGGGGGCCCCTTGCAAGACAGAAGAAAGCAGTAAGAATTCAGTGTTGGCCACAGGCTGCAGACTTCGTTTGGTTCCAGCCCTGGGTCTCAGCCCCAAGAGGACCTAGGGGGATGTGGGAAGGGTCAGCCTTCCGCTTGCACCACGGAAATAATAAAGGTCTAGAGGAGGGTCCTCAAACTCAGTTGTCCACAGCGCTCAACTGGATACAAATGTTTGAGTCCATCGAGAAGAGGGAGAGACGGAGAAACTGCACTGCACCCAAAGGCCTTCATGTGAAAGATGTTGGCAGATGCCTGCTGGCCAGGGTCAAGGTGGCAGCCGGCTGGACTGGCCACAGGGACCACCAGTTTGCAGCCCCAGGTCGGAGGGCTGATAGATCTATGTGGTTCTCCTTTGCAGTGGTGGGGCTGAGGGGTTTGGCCTCTTCTCAAGGGAAGCTGATGGACCATTGAAGGGGTGCTGCCCCTTCCTGTGAGGGTTGTTTTTTTTTTTTTTTTTTTTTTTTTTTTGCTGTACGCGGGCCTCTCACTGTTGTGGCCTCTCCCGTTGCGGAGCACAGGCTCCGGACGCGCAGGCCCAGCGGCCATGGCTCACGGGCCCAGCCGCTCCGCGGCATGTGGGATCTTCCCGGACCGGGGCACGAACCCGTGTCCCCTGCATCGGCAGGCGGACTCTCAACCACTGCGCCACCAGGGAAGCCCCCTGTGAGGGTTTTGAGAGGAAAATGTACCCCTCATCTTCCCACCCAGTGGTCACAGGGGTAGATGCCCAGCCCCTGCTGCATATCTATACAGGCATCTGGCCCCGTGACTGAGAGGCTAGGGAGTGCTACCCAACCTGTCCCATCTCCTGGTCTCTCACCTCCCTCTCTACCACGATCGACGAGGCCCAGGTGGGCAAAGGCCCACCCCGAGGTTCGCCATCAGGCCTTGGAGCAAAGAGATAGGCAGGACCAACTGCAGAGTCTGAGATCTGGGAGACTGAGTCAGTTGGTTGGAAGAGCTTACCAGGCAGGTCTGAGCCCAGAGAGAGGGCAAGGTTGGGGTCAAGTGCCCAGCGGCATAAAAAGGGAGCAGAAACAGTGAATGTGGAGAGGCTGGGGCTGGGAAGAAGAGGACAGAGTGGACTCTGCAGAGGGAGACAGGGGCAGAAAAGAGAACCAGAGAGGGATGTCTTGCAGGGATCGACAGATGCCCAAGCCCCCAGGACGGCTGCACTGGGCTCCTGGGCTCAGAGTCCAATGTGGCCCTTCATCTCCCTGGTGTCCCCTTATAATATGCACCCTCAGAGCAAAGGGAAAGAACTCTGGCCAGGAAGAGCCAACCTGTCAGATGTGTTAGCAAAGACCTGAGGCTTCCTGGCGGCCCCTGGACATTTTGATTTGTTCGAGGTTAACCTGGCCTGGAAGAAAGATGTGTCACTGAGACCAGGGACAGAAAGCCGCCCCCCCCCCCGCACCC